CACTGCTAAAGAAGTTGTTTATTCTCCAGTTAATTTGTACCAACGTGGTATTTGATTGGAGAAAAAGAAAGTTTTTTCGCTGCTAAAGAAATTGTTGATTCTCCAGTTATTTTGAACGAACATGGTATTTAATTGGAGAAAAAGAGTTTTGACATGATTATGATATTGTTATTTTCTGACCAACGTTGTTAATAACAATATCATAATTTTAATGATTTATGCATTAATTCTACTTCTGTCCAACGGTGATGTAGAATTAGTATATAAGAACAGTTGTAAATTTTAATGATTTATGCATTAATTCTACTTCTGCCCAACGGTGATGTAGAATTAGTGTGTAAGTACAGTTGTGAATTTTAATGATTTTATACATTAATTCTATTTCTGCCCAACGGTGATGTAGAATTAGTGTATAAGAATAATTGTATGTTTTGATTGTGACCAACGTTGGAATCGAGGCATGCAAATGATGTTAATTTTATGTTAAGAAAAGGTTTGACCTAGTTTTCATCTTGGCTGAGGTGGACTGGGTAGTCACCTCACCGTGTTCCACTGATTCTGTGGCACCGGTGAGGGAGACAAAAGAGAATGATGCCGATTAGACAACTAAAGAAAGGGATTTTGAATCCCAAAAGATGTCCTTTGACTTTGAGCATAGGAAGTGGGTCACTGTCAACAAGAAATATTTGGCAGTGATAAAGAACCGATTAAGCCTGCAATTGTGGGCTCAATCCCAGAGTGTGATACGGTCACCGAGTACCTCGATAGAATAAAGAGTCAGTTCACTGGCTCTTCAAAGACATATGCTACCTAACTGATAAAGCAGCTGGTCACAGAGTGTTAATCTGGAAATGCTGGCATGAGAGAGCTCACGATGCATCATCAAAATTATGGCACTGTCGTTTAGGCCATATTTCGAGGGGGAGAATAGAAAGACAAGTTAAGGATGGTATTCTTCCTCCATTAGAGCTCTCAGATTTAGAACAATGCAGAGAATGCATAAAAGGAAAGTATGTAAAGAAAATAAAGAAAGAACGAAGCGCAATAATTTTATAGATTATTCACATAGACATCTGTGGTCATTTCCCTGTAAAGAGTGTGGATGGTTATGATTCGTTCATAACATTCACAAATGATTACTCCCATTATGGCTACATTTATCCAATCAAAGAAAGAACAGAAGCATTGGATAAATTTAAGATATTAAAGATTAAGATAGTCAGGTCTGACCGTAGGGCAGTAATACGGTCGGCATACCATAAAAGAATGGCATAGTAGCCCAGTATTCTACACCGGGCGAACCTCAATAGAATAGAGTAGCTAAAAGAATCAATTGTACCCTGATGGATATGGTGGGCAGTATGATAAGTTACTCCACCTTACAGTTGAGTATGTGAATGGAGACAAATGATTACTCCCATTATGACTACATTTATCCAATAAAAAAAACAGAAACATTGGATAAATTTAAGATATTAAAGATTAAGATAGTCAGGTCTGACCGTGGGGGAGTACTATGGTCGGCATACCCTAAAAGAATGGCATAGTAGCCCAGTATTCTACACCAGACGAATCTCAACAGAATAAAGTAGCTAAAAGAATCAATCGTACCTTAATGGATATGGTGGACAGTATGATTAGTTACTCCACCTTACAGTTGAGCATGTGAATGGAGGTGTTAAAAACCGACATTCATATTCTCAATAGAGTACAAAGTAAGTCGGTGCCCAAAACACCGTATGAGTTGTGGACAGGAAGAATACCCTCACTAAACACTTAAGTGTGTGGGGGAGCCCCGCTGAGGCTAAAGTATTTAACCCAAACATTGAAAAGTTAGATCCCAAAATAGTAAGTTGCCATTTATTTGGCTACCTAGAAAAGTCAAAAGGTTTTCGTTTTCTACTATCCAGAGAGACATACAAAGTTTATGAAAATGAGACACGCTGTCTTCCTAGAGGATGAATTGATGAGGGGGAGCATGGTAGCTCGAGAAATTGACCTTAAAGTGAAGCGGGTGTATGCGTCCACTCCAATGATTCATGAGCCATTTTTCTCACTACCTGCTGTCGCTGCACCGACAGTGCAAGACACTATAGTGCCAGCACCTGTTGTTATCCCACCTGTGGCAACAATGAATGACGATGAGGAACCTGTTCCTCAGGATCCTATAGAACCTATTGCCACACATGAGGGGGAGCAACAACAGCCTCAAACAAAACGTGTGCCAAATGTGAAGGCCCCTAGAAGGTCTCAAAGAGTTAGAAAATCAGCTATTCCTGCTGATTATTTAGTGTACAACACTGAGGAATTTCAAATGGAGGATGATCCCATCTCATTTGAAGAAGCCATGAGAAGTGATCATTCATCAAAGTGGCTTGAGGCCATGGAAGATGAAATGAAATCAATGAATGCAAATAAAGTTTGGAATTTGAAAATAATTCCTAAAGGAGCCAAAACAGTAGGCTATAAATGGGTCTATAGAACAAAACTTGACTCTCAAGGGAATATAGAGAGATATAAAGCGCGACTTGTGGCAAAAGGCTTTATGCAAAGAGAATGGATTGATTACAATAAGACCTTTTCTCCAGTCTCATGTAAAGTTTCCTTTAGAATTATAATGGCATTAGTGGCACATTACGATTTAGAATTATATCAGATGGATGTAAAGACGGCATTCCTCAACGGGGACTTGGAGGAAAATATTTACATGGCACAACCGAAAGGTTTTGTCATGGAAGGAAAAGAACGAATGGGATGCCGCCTAAAGAAATCCATTTATGGATTAAAACAAACTTCAAGACAGTGGTACTTGAAGTTTGATCAGCAAATAAAGAATTTTGGGTTTAAAGAGAACGTAGAGGACAATCGTGTCTATACAAAGTTTAAGAATGGGAAGTTTATCTTTCTTGTCCTGTATGTGGATGATATCTTACTTGCTAGTAATGATGTCAGTCTACTACATGAGACAAAGAAGTTTTGTCCTCAAAACTTGATATGAAAGATCTTGGTGAAGTCTCGTTTGTTCTAGGGATCGAGATTCATCAAGATAGAAGAAAAGGGGTATTAGGATTGTCATAAAAGGCATACATGGAAAAGATCTTAAAGAAATTTTGTATGCACAAAAATAGTCCCTCACCTGCTCCTATTGTCAAGGACGACAGATATGGGGATTTTCAATGCCCCAGAAACCAATATGAGCTCAATTAAATGAAAGTGGTTCATATGCTTCAGCTGTCGGAAGCTTACAATATGCTCAAGAATATACGCGCCCTGACTTGACATTTGTTATCGAGTTTTACTTGACAGATTCCAGAGCAATTCTGGAATAGAACACTGAAATTGATAAAGAAAGTCTTGCGTTATTTGCAAGGAACGAAAGGTCTCATGATAGCATGTAGAAGATCTGATTCAATCCACATAGTGGGATATTCAGATTCTAATTATGCGAGAGATGATAGAAAATTAAGAAATGATATGAATTCACTCTCGCAAAGGAGAGCTATTTCATGAAAAAGCTCAAAGCAAACCGTCACTATATCGTCCACAATGTATGACCGTTTGTAGCGTGTTATGAGGCAACGGGCAGGTGAACTGACTAAATAAGTTCATACCCGGTTTGAAGGTGATTGACGACATCTATAGACCACTTAAGTTATACTGCGATGATAATTCGACAGTACAGTATGCTCACAACATAAGTCAAGTGGTGCTGCCAAACACATTGACATAGAGTATTATGTTGTGAAAGATAAAGTCCGGGATCAAGTCATAAGTCTTGAGCATATAAGTACAGAAAAGATGTTTGCGAATCCGCTTACAAAAGACTTACCACAGAACATGGTGTTTAGAGAACATGTAGCTAGCATGGGTTTAAGGGAAAGCCTAAAATTCCTAGACAAAAAAGGCCCAAAGATAAGTATCTATTTCAGAACAGAGTAGTGTGTTGTAGCTGTTAAATCTATCGGCAATGGACCATGATGATAAGATATGCTCTATACGCTAATTTGTAATGAAGTGAACAAAAGTAAATGATATGAAATTGAAAGATGATAGTGAGATCAAGGGGGAGAATGTTAGTTGATCTCCACCAACGGCCTATTGGACCTTTGTCTTTGCTCTCTAATCGGGAGAGCCCAACCCTAATAAGATTGGTAGACCCCTATCGCATAGCACATATAAAAGGTAAGGTGGGGATCAGGGCTCAGGCTACGAGGTTCAACGGAGCCACCGTACCCACCTACAGAGAAAACATAAACCGATCTAAAGCAGCGCTGCCAGCGACGGAAAGCTCCACCACACCGCCGCCGCCTCTGCAGGATCACCGCAGCACCACTGGACTTCATCTCCACACGTGGCGCTGCAGGGTCACCGCAGCGCCACTGGACTTCATCTCCACAGCGCTGGACACCTACTACACCGCAGCACCTGCGTCTACTCTGCTGCTACGCCGCAACAGAGAAAGGGCGAGGAGGCTTACCCAGATCTACGGTTACACATAAAGGTACACCCACGATCCTAACATTCTGCACTCATCATCCACACATGCGGGCAGCTTGTTGCAAACACATCGTCAATTCGTCATCCTCCCTTTTGGTGGTAGTTGATCCTTGTACTTCCGCCAAGCCATACTTGTGTTGTACTTGCAACCTATGCATACAGGAGCAGAACTGATGTTTGCCACTACACGCTGATGAATGGGAAGACACAACTGTAGCAATCTACTTAAGTGTGTTCAGCTACATGTATTTAAAGGTAAAAGGCAACATGTAATATAGGTCTTGCACAAAAAAATCAATTCAAATGACTGTCAGCTCCATATCAACTCTGAGTAGTCACTCGGAACTTCCAATCTTGATCAATGTGGGTCAGATGTCGACGAAGGCTGTCAAGGTTCAAAAGAACGAAATCACCCCAGATGTGAGCCACTTGCCATATATGTTTACCGAAGGATAATCAATCAGAGGATGGCTGAGTTCTCACCGTATGAAAACTATTCCCGCTTAATCTTCCTCACCAGCATGCTCCAGAAGATAGTTTGCTGCTAGCTCCTCATTCCTATCGCAGGCAAAGAATGCTTCAATAACGCGTGCTCTGTCAAACCCCATGGATTCAAGCTGAATATACAAAAACAAACCAAAACATGATTATGTGATCTCAAATATCTATGAAGTCGGAGGATAGCGAGTTCAACAAATGCGTGCTTACCCGTCCAATGGCCTCCTGCTCCACTGGTGTAACACTAATAGCATGAGGCATTTCATCCTCCTCAGGTTGGTCTAAGAAATCCCTAGAGATTTTGAGGAAATGGGCAGAAGAAATGATATAACACTATCTATTTATAAAATCAGTAAACAGCAATTCACACAATACCAGAAATCTATGACAATTGGCAAGTGGTGATGAAGCAGACAACCCAAACAAAGGGGGAAAAGTTAATCAAATAAGAGGATGCTTACCCCTCTCCACCTTCAAAGGGCTCATTTAGTAACTGAAGAAACTCATCATGATTCTCCTCAATCAGCCTTAGAATTTGAGGATTCTGCTTGCTCAACTCAACTAGCATAGGCTATAACATGATACCAGCAAAAAGTTCAGGCAGGTGCTACACAAGAAGCCATAGAATGTAAGCCAAAACAAAGAATACAAAACCTGCAAAATTTCTGGATTTGTATGCACCATTTCCCGAACTGCTTGAAACTGCAAAATAATTGATATGCTCTTAATTCATATTTAGAACAATGAGGTTTCTTCCTTAATAAACTGAAGTAATCCCACCCTGCTGATCCAAAATATAAGTCCATTTGCACTTGGGGCTAACATTAAGGTGAGGGGTACAATGACCATGTTGCACATCAATCATTAGTGTGCATTTAAGTAGGAGTACACATGGAAGAATGAAGCAAAAAGTTGCATTGGAGTTATTGTTGATTTTTATTTGGTGCATTTAGGAGAAGGTTAGATGGACATATATTTGGGGTTTCATTCCAAACAAAAGATTCAATAAAGTTTTACAAAGCTCATGTTCGCACCGCATTGGGATAAGGTCCATCCTTGCACAATATGTTACCGTAAGATTAGTGAGAAAACAAGTGTGCTAGATGAGGTTGTTACAACTTACTACTATGGGCACCTTATTTTCTAATAGTATATTTTAGTATGTAGGGGGAATAATAGAGAATTAACCCAAAAATCTTAAACAACAAAAATTAAAATGAGAACCTGTTGATTGTTTCTAAGAAAATCAAGTGGTCCACCACCAGCACCACCTCCAGCATTGGAACCCCCCTGCTGAATTGTTTAATGGTCAATAGATGCTTCAACATGCAGTGATAATGATTGAACCACATAAAGTACACCTGTGGGAAAAGATTTAGTGGAGCAGTGTTTGGAATCCCAGAGAGACCGGCTTCCCCGGTAGGAGCTCGATCAGTTGTGTTTGCTCCTTGACCACCAATTGGAACAGCAACTTCAGCTGTCACTGGAATACCCTAATGTTTGACAGAAAAAATCTATTACCACCAGAAAATTGGATTCCATCATTAAGTGCAAAAAGGCAAAAGAATGGGGCGACTAGAAAAATACATACAGAGTAGAGGTATTCAACAGCACGTTCCGGGTGGTTGTAAGCGGCACGGAGAGCCCTTTGGACTTTATCTTTGTCCCAACTTCCCCCACCCATCTCCATTAGCTGGTTAATCATTGTGTCAACATTGCTTCCTGATAGAAGATTTGATGCTGCATTGTCATATGTGTTAGGAGGAGCCCTAACAAAAAGAAAAAAAAATTGTTAGCAGAATTACTAAATGTACCAAAAAAAGAAGTAAAGGAAATGGAAGTTTCCAGATTCATAAGAGCACTTCAGATTTATCTTCAACATAGTTATTGTACTACCAAATTTCAGTTGGGGTGGTGGTGGTGGTGGGTGTGTGTGTGTGTGGGGCGCTAACTCGCATCTACTTGTTATGTGTCACTATAATTCGGCTTAACTCACAGTACTTTACCTATTGGGCCGTATTAAATTTACACGAAGAAGTTGGAGGTTCTATTCCTGCAAGCTATGGTCATTTTTGCAAGGTTGCATGATTTTTGTCTCAAATAACTTCACAGTCTCAACGAAGGTTGACATAGTTTTTTCCCCTGATGGAGGATATCTACGGAAACAGTAATGGGAATTTTAAGTGGTCAAAATCGCCTAATAGCACAGATGTGTGATTGGCAGGCTGGAAATATACTCTGCAGGAAGTCCTTCAGGCTGAGAAGTTGTAGTTGGTGCCACCCTGCAAAAAGATGCATCCCATGAGTTTACGAAAAGAATAAAAACAAATGAAGAGGCTAGAGAGAAAGAAAGAAAAGCTATAGCAAGAACTCACGGGGGTTGAGGAGCTTGTTGTGGGGCATCTAGAGGAGGTGCCTGCCTTGTTGCAGGAGTGTTTGAGGGCTAGTAATGGTTCATGCAGTTAGTACATAAGCTGGTAGTTTGTTTTTCCACCCGCAAAGGAAATAACTCTACCTGGGAAGATGAAGTTCCACTTGAACCAGATGTTTTACCCTGCAGAAAACAGAGTGGATAAGTATGAATTTATATGAAATAGAGCAAGAGTACATACAGGGAAAATGTTGAATAAAGGATAACACGTGCTGAGTGATGGTGCTAAAAGATATACCATTCTACATTAAACATATCATTCAAGGAACACCCAGTACCAGAATGTGTATTTCCATATCATGTACTTTTTAACTGTGATACAAAAGGAGTACTTTGTGTTATAGGTTTATAGCTACTACGGGATGGAAGGTGCTATGAACCTTAGTTCATATCGGGGATAGGGAGGATAACCATTGCCAAGAGGAAGGCCGGGCAAGTCGGCGTGGAGGGAGACTAGAATATTTGGGGGTAACTGGATTGTTTGTTGTTCATTGCTTGATTCAATCTCAACTGGTTACAGGGTATAAATAGAGGAGCTCAGCCCCTAGGCGCCCAGCCTCTGGCTCCTTATTTCTCTCCCCAACATTAATTCTAATCTCTCATTAACTCTAATCTCTTCCCCAGACTCTAATTGCCATTGATTACAGCCGGCACCCCCTGGGATACCGTCCTGGCTGCATGCAGGCGGTCCCCGGATGCCCCACATGACAGAAGGATAGTATTAAACTATGCCAGATGATCAGCAATAAGTGCAGAGCACCACTGCAGGTCAAATAATGTTTCAGACAGATTCACCTTTGGCAAATAACTATATTATATTTTGTACCTAAATTTAACTTTTCTTCACGTGTTACAATTCATCCTTTTTGTATTATATCTGTAAATTTTGCATCAAGTTTTACACTAAAATCAAGTTGTTACATTATCAGATTAAAGTTATGGCAAATACTTCAGTAAGACATAATAGCTATCTGAAACAGTTCCTATAATACGTAGCACAGAGATGTATTAGAAGCCAACCTTACTAAGCATGACAACTAGAAACCCATCTTCGTTAACTTTATTCTCATCCAATGTACTTTCATCTTTCAAGACCTTTCCATTGAAAATCAGCAGTTGTTGCCCCCATGGATAGCTGTCCTTTCCTTGTATCTCTTCGATGTTCTTCTTCACAGCCATAATCTGGTAAAATAAGGAACCGTTAGTAGAACCTTGACAAAATATAGAATGCCAATAAAACCCATTCAACTATGATCACAAAACAGTAAGCTGACAAGCATTAATCCAAACCCTTGTTATGCCTGCATCACCGATGGCGGAGGAAGGCAGAAGATATGGAAAAGAACAAGGAACCATGAGGTATTTGAAGAAGGTACAAGGTAGGCAAATGGGCACAAGAGGCAAGAGAATACCGGCAATCCAGCATAACTATTAGGCAGGTCTATGTGTGATTAGCTATAATTAGCACCTGCTATGTATACTTGATTGTATTCCTTGTATACCCAGCCATATTGGCTATATATATGAAGGTCACCCCCCGCCCCCATATTGGGTGTGAGGTGTGTCTCTACATGGTATAAGACTATTAGATCCTATTTTTCTGCCCTTCCCACCCGCGCGACCCCTTCCTGATCGCGCCGCAGCCCCAACGCGCGCGACTCCCTCGCGCCCGTCCACCCTCACCTCCGCCTCCGCCTCCTCCCCGGCCACCAGTGCCGGCACCCTGCCCGCGACAGGCACTCCCACCATGCCTGCCATGAGCGCCGGCGCTGCTGCACCGATCGTGGCTCACCACTACGCCACAGTCAATGTCAAGTCCCACATCCCGATTACGCTGGACCTTCAATCCAACTACTCCAAGTGGGCGTTCTTCTTCAAGTCGCTGTGCGGCAAGTTCGGCCTTCGCTCGCACATCGACGGCTCTGCTCCCCCTCGACCTGATGATCCTCAGTGGGATGCTGCGGAGTGCTGCGTCCGGGGCTGGATCTCCGGCTCCGTCGACGACTCCGTCCTCGACCTCGCCATGGACGGTGCCGATCCAACCGCCGGTGATCTGTGGGTGGCCATTGAGGGGATCTTCCGCGCCAACCGGGAGCCGCGCGCTATCTTCCTCAACGAATTTCACTCCATGGTGCAAGGTGACAACACCATCTCGGCGTACTGCCAGCGGCTGAAGACCAAGGCCGCCGCTCTTCGCAACGTCGGCCATCCTGTCGAGGACTCGCAGCTCGTCCTCGCCCTTCTGCGTGGCCTCAATCCTCGCTTCTCCAACACCGCCAACAACATCGCCAACTCCGCTGTACTTCCCACATTCGCAAGAGCCCATGACATGCTGGCACTAAAGGAGCTCCGTCTCGCCAACGATGAAAAGACAGTCGTCAGCACCGCCCTCCTCGCCATCGCCGGGTCTGGCTGCACCAGCCCGGGCGGGTGCCGTGCTCTCGCTGCCACAGCCACCTCTGGAGGTGCACACAACCCACACGTGACCGACTACGGCAGCAGCAACAAGGGTGGCGGCGGTGGCAAGAACAAGGGCAAGGGCCGGCGTGGCTGGAACAGCGGCCCTGCGCAGCAGCGCGGCGGCGTTGCAAGCGCGTCCCAGCCGGCTGGCCAGAACGGCCAATACCGACCCATGGGCCCCTGGATTTGCTACAATCCATGGGCGCCACAGGGCCCTCCTTCGGCTCAGCAGGGCGGCTGGCGCCCAGGCGTGCTTGGCGCTCCTCCTCAGGCTCACACGGCCTTCGCGCCTACGCAGCTCCCGACGACATTTGCGCCGCTCCACGTCTCCCAACAGGCTCCCATGTGGAACCAGGATGGTCTTGTTGCTGCACTCAATCAGATGCATCTCTAGGGCCAGCATCCCTGGCTCCTGGACTCCGGCGCCTCCTCCCACATGAGGTCCTCGGATGGTATACTCCTTTCTCGTCATCCTCCTCCTTACTCTTCCATTACCGTTGGCAATGGTCAAACTCTTCCTATTTCATGTCGTGGCGAGTCTGTCCTTCATACACCAGAGTCAAATTTTCATTTTAATAATGTCTTAGTTGTCCCATCCCTAGTCTGCAATCTGCTATCTGTCCGTCAATTTACTAGGGACAACATCTGCTCTATAGAATTTGACGCTCTTGGTTTTTCTGTCAAGGATATCCCGACCCGACGCGTGATGCTTCGCTGCAATAGTGCTGGCGACCTTTACACCTTCCCTGCCGCGTCTTCCGCTCCACATGCCAGCATCGCCATCTCCACCGACCTCTGGCATCACCGTCTTTGTCATCCCAGCTCCGCCACCATTGACATTCTTCGTCGTAATGCGTCCATCAGCTGTAATAAAGTAGAGCACCAACTATGTCATTCTTGACAGCTTGGCAAACATGTGCGCCTTCCTTTTTCAGATTCTAGTTCATTTAGCTCCATGCCTTTTGAACTTGTTCACCGTGATGTATGGACATCCCCGGTTACCAGTGTATCCGGGTATCAATATTATCTTGTTTTACTTGATGATTTCACTCATTTCTGTTGGACCTTTCCCCTCACTCGCAAATCTGAAGTCCCCACACATATTACAATTTTTTGCAATTATGTCCACACTCAATTCAGCCTTGCCATCAAAGCTGTCCAAGCCGACAACGGCACTGAGTTCGTAAACAACACCCTCCATACTCTCTTTGCTTCCCGTGGTATTCATTTACGCCTCTCGTGTCCATATACCTCCCCACAAAATGGCAAGGCTGAACGCCTTCTTTGCACATTGAACAACATCAGCCGCACGATGCTCCTCCATGCACACATGCCTGCTCAGTACTGGGCTGTGGCGCTCGCCATAGCCACATATCTTCTGAACAGGCGTCCATGCTCTGCTGTTCGCCACACCATTCCATATACCCTCCTCCACAGCAAACCTTCCGAGTACTCCCACTTATGTTTCTTTGGGTGTCTCTGTTATCCGAACTTGACCGCCACAGCTCGCCACAAACTCTCCCCTCGCTCCACAGCTTGTGTTTTTCTCGGCTATCCCTCTTCCCACAAGGGGTACCGTTGCCTCAACATGGCCACTCAGCGCGTCATCATCTCTCGCCATGTGGTCTTCGATGAGACTTGTTTTCCCTTCAGGCTTTACCCCTCCAGGTCCTCGCCAAGCGACCTGGATTTTTTGCTTGCAGGTACTACAGTGCCGGTGCGTCCTGCATCCTTGCCCACTGCTGTTGGGCAGCCACACCAAGGATTCATTGAGGAGCTGACCGACGACCCCGCGATCTTGTTTCACAGCCCCGTACTGCCTGCTGCTCCTCCAGCGGTTGCCCCGGCTCCAGCTGTTGTTCACGCCGCTCCACCAGCTCGGGACATCCGGCTTGTCTACAGCCGGCGTCCCCGGGCGCATGACGGGTCCTCTACAGCACCGGGACCGGCTCCTGCACCTGTCCAGCAGGCTCCTATGCATGTCCAGCAGCCTCCTGCCCCTGTACAGCAAGCTCCTGCTCCTGTCCAGCAGCCACAGGTGCCCGCAGCTCCACCAGCACCTCCTGTACAGCAGGAACGACGCATCACGCGGACCTAGTCTGGGGCCATACCGGTTATGCGGTATGTGGGTCTCTCTGCGACAACCACTCCGTCTCCGCTTCCCGCCAACTACCGTAGCGGTTTGGCTGATCCAAACTGGCGTGCGGCCATGGCTGAGGAGTACAAGGCGCTCATCGACAACGGGACATGGCGCCTCGTGCCCCGGCCACCCGGCGCCAACGTGGTCACAGGCAAGTGGATATTCAAGCACAAGTACCACTCCGATGGTACCCTTGCCCGCCACAAGGCTCGCTGGGTGGTTCGTGGCTTCTCCCAGCGCCACGGCATCGACTACGACGAGACATTCAGCCTTGTGTTCAAACCAACAACCATCCGGGCTGTTCTCAGCATTGCTGCCTCACGCGCCTGGCCTATCCATCAGCTAGACGTCAAGAATGCTTTTCTCCATGGACATCTGGAGGAGACCGTCTACTGCCAGCAGCCCCCAGACTTCGTTGACCCTGTTTTTCCTGACCATGTGTGTCTGTTGCAGCGCTCCCTCTACGGTCCCCCGAGACTGGTACCAGCGTTTTGCGACATACATTCGCTAGCTCGGCTTTGTCGCCTCGACTTCCGACACCTCCCTCTTTGTCTACAGAGACGGGACCAGTATCGCCTACTTGCTCCTCTACGTCGACGACATCGTCCTTACTGCGTCCTCGACGGCATTTCTTCAGCAGGTCATTGGGCGCCTCCACTCTGAGTTTGCCATGACTGACCTGGGCACACTCCATCACTTCCTCGGGATCTCCGTCACTCACTCCGTCGACGACTTGTTCTTATCCTAGCGACAGTACGCCGTTGAGCTTCTTCAACGCGCCGGCATGGCCGAGTGTCACTCTACGTCGACACCTGTTGACACTCAAGCCAAGCTATCTGCAACCGCGGCGGTCTCTGTTGTCGATCCGTCCGCCGCGTCTGGGAGTCTTTTGGCGTGCTCAAATTACCTCACGCTGACTCGTCCTGACTTGGCATACGCTGTCCAACAGGTGTGCCTCTTCATGCATGATCCCCGCGAGCCGCACCTCTCGATGATCAAGCAGATCCTATGCTACCTGAAGGGCACTCCTCCGGCCTCCACATCGGTGTCGGCCCTGTTCAGTCACTGGTCGCCTACTCCGATGCCGACTAGGCTGGCTGCCCAGATTCTCAACGCTCCACCTCCGGCTATTGTGTCTACCTCGGCGACAATCTGATTTCTTGGTCCTCCAAGCGTCAGACCACGGTCTCCCGCTCCAGTGCAGAAGCAGAGTACCGTGCTGTTGCTCATGTGGTGGCCAAGTGTTCTTTGGTGCGCCAGACTCTGCAGAGCTCCACGTCTCCAATGCTTGGCTGACGGTTGTTCATCTGCGACAATGTCAAGACCTTTGTCTACATGACAACCAACCCCGTTCATCATCGTCGCACAAAGCACATTGAGATTGACATTCACTTCGTCCGTGAGAAGGTCGGCTTGGGACAAGTTCGGGTTCTTCATGTGTCGTCCTCTCACCAGTTCGCAGACATCATGACCAAGGGCCTTCATGACAATTTGTTCATTGAATTCAGTCCGATCCATGCGTCAGGATCCTCCCGCTTAGACTGCGGGCGGGTATTAGGCAGGTCTATGTATGATTAGCTATAATTAGCACCTGCTATGTATACTTGATTGTATTCCTTGTATACCCAACCATATTGGCTATATATATGAAGGTCACCCCCCCATATTGGGTGTGAGGTGTGTCTCTACAATAACAATCAAATAGGCTCAAGCCCCAAGAGCATGCCAGTATGACAATCAGGACTGAGCATGGGACGTGTAAATGAAGCTGGATGCTATTTACAACAGGCAACATGTGTGTCAGGCAGTAGGGACATGGTCTTCAAATGAGCAAGGTGCGGGTTACTTTGAGCCAGTATCTACCAACAAAAAGTGTGCATGACAAATGGAAATCCTCATGCTCTTCCTTTTCAACGCTCCATTTCTTCACTTCCTATCCCGAATTCTGATTCTACTCATGTAAATCCATCTTGTGAAACTTTGAGCCTGATCTCGTTTAACTCCGTTGTAGCGAGTCCAAGGTTATCATAGCCCTACACAACACAGTACTTCTACAGCAGTGCCAAAACCATTTGCCAGAAATAACTCCAGTACATTGATACATAGATATGTTAAGACCTGGCACTTTCCAAATGTATACATCAGAGACCAGTACTTTAGATGCGTTTTCACATGCTCCCACCATCTAATCACACCCTAACCATGTCACGGACAGCACTCACACGGTCACACACCAAAATCAGAGACCAGTGCCTTAAATGGATTTTCACATGCTCCCACCATCTAATCACACCCTAACCATATCATGGACAGCACTCACACGGTCACACCCCGAAATCAGAGACTAGTGCCTTAAATGGATTTTCACGTGCTCCCACCATCTAATCACACCCTAAGGGCTAAGGTGGCGTTTGGATAGGCAGTGGGATAGGGAAATGGATATAGCATGGGATAGAGAGGAGTGGGTTATGGATTGGGAAATGGAGAGTTCAACCCAATCCATTGTTTGGCAGTTTGGCTGGAGTTTGGGTTTCAAGTGGGACCTGCTGCTATAATTAAAAAATGAACAAAGCACTTGACTTTTCTATGCCACGCCCAATAGCACCTGCCTTATCCATCCATCCCAAAAGCTGGTTTCCAGAAGACGCACCTCCAAATCGCGCAGGGACAGGGCCGCGTCGCATCTCCAACAAAGGTCCTGTGCGACCGCACCGGACCAAGCGGAAGCGCCTGAGCAGCGCGGCCGACAAGGGCTCCGACAGCATGGGTGACGGGGGCAGCGGTTGCTCTAGCTGTGCGGGCAGCGGCACGGCTGGCTGCTGCTCGCATGCTCCAGCAGCGTGGGAGGCACGGGCGGCGAGGGCGACTCCAGCTTCGGCGACGAGGGTGCCTCCAGCTCCGGCAGCTTCGGCTCCACCTCGGCTGCACTTTCGATTTCCCAATATAACCCACCCCTCCGGCTGGGAATCGGGATTGAGTCGTCGGGATAGAGGTACCTATTTCCCTATCCCAGAGCAGCCCCATTTCCCTATCCCTCTACCCAAACGTGGGATAACCATGTTATGGACAGCACTCACACGGTCACACCCCAAAATGTCAGGACACCAAGTCTCAAATCAAATCCTATAAACCACAAGGAACACCTGCGGACCTCATTCTCCAGTCTTCAGGCCAACCCTATACCTTCGTCATCACAAAAATCGAATTCCCTGCTGCATTTTCTCGACAGCTCCTAGTGAAGCATACAGAGACAGGAAATCCACATCTCCAGCAAAATGTTCAGCTCTTCCCTGAATCGCCCCCCGTCAGAATGCCGCAGAAACCACCCGCCTCGCCACAAGCGCTCACACCCACGGACCCGTCCCCGATAAGAAGCACCCCGGTAAGAAGCACGAGAAGATTTCAAAACGAAATGGGGATCGGAATATCTCACCGAGTCGTTGGGCTGCACCCGGATCTCGAAGTGCGTGCCCTTGAGGGTCTTCACCGTCAGCTTCATGGCGGCGGGCGGTGGCGGCAACCCGAGGCAGGAGAGGCTCGCCTCCGCTCCGCTCCCGCTTCCGTGCGCGGGCTAGCCGTCTAGGGTTTTAGCGGTGGTGGAGCCGTGGAGCGTCGCGCGGAAGGCGCCTCCGGAGTTTGGGGGGCGAACAGGACCGAAACGAAAGAGGAAGATGCCCACGTGTGTGCCGCCACGGGCTGACGAAGGGGCCTGCAGAGTATCCGGCCACGGGCTGCGATATTTCAGGCCTACTCACACAGATTCTGGACCACGGCAATCTCAACTGAATCGAAAGCCCATGGGCCATACGGGAGAGATCCGGCCGCGCCTCATCTCCTTAAAAAAAAAAAATTGGCCAAGAATCGCGTCTTTCTTAAAGCGCAAACGATCCGCTTTTTTTTTTTTTATCTGAAACAATGTTTTTCTCTCACAAATTCCTCCAGCATTCCTCTAAACCATCCAAATTCCTCCAAGCGAACAGGCCCATAGTTGTGTAAGTGGCGCCCTATGCCATCCAAATTTAAATTCTAAGGATACGAAAAAGGCTTTTAATACAGATGACCCAAATCCAATTTATGTGTGTATACGAAGTAGTATAAGATATAGAATTGACAAAATTCGATGGATATAGATTATCCGCTGGATTATATAATATTTAAAATAGGATATCCGATAATATCCCTTTCTAGGCTTAAAACCCAAAGAATTAATTATAAAAAATTGTTAGTTGGCAACTCTTACTTTTATGATGTGGTTGTTTTATGATCTCATTTTTGAATTAAGAACTTGCTAGCCGTTATTACTTATTAACTAATAACTTGTCATACCCTTAATTTGAGATGATATGGTATTAGCTTGGCGATGGCTAAAATAGAGTGGTGATTTACAACAATTATAGTAAAGGGCTGTAAGTGGGTTGTATATTGAGGTAGAGGAGAGAAATGAGAAGTAGTTTATAAGTTTACAGTCGACTTAGACACAAAGACAAAAACTTTTGTGCACCATTAGGAGAGTGGTTTTCCCAAACATCCGAAATTAATTTTTAGTTGTGGTTTATTCCCTCAAACTCCGGCTTTCCAGGGTATCAACATCGTTCGACGTGGCAATTGACAATGGATAATTAAAATAAAACCAACAAGTCACACGCGAGTTGCCGATTAAGTTATTTGTAGCAAGATTTCGCGTCGCGCCTTTGAGCCAGCTGCTGGCCGGGCGGGCGGGCCGGGCCCATGCGTGCACAATATGATATGTACGCGTAGCCTACCATCGCAACACGCATTTCGGTGAAGGGAAAAGTAACTTAGCAGCACTACCGTGTGGAGCCAGGTAGAAACGTGAAACCCGTTTACCTCGTGCTTGAAAGGATACATTTTGTGTACCATAGCAATGCAGGTGGCTCGATCCAGACTCGATCGGTATCCAGTTAGCTGAAAGCTTGAAAAACGGTTTGTGCATGCGGTAATTTTTTTTTATAATCCAACTTTTATGTAGAAAATTATGCCCATTCCAAGATGTGCTCAATGTTTCCGGATAAGTGTTTTTTCTACCACTGGTAAATAATTTGAGCGCACTCTGGTATTTTTTTTTCTACTAGTGGCCCATGGATATATATAGTCTCATATCAAGTATAGGTCTCATGATAATTCTACCAACAGGGTGGTTAACAGCACAATATCTCGTCGTTGCCAAGCAATGAAATGGCCTATAAGGTTACCCAAGACCGTCTCACCATCAGGAGCAGGGATCTCAACTTCATAATCGAGATGATTCGGAGAAACTGAGAGCACTTCAACCTTGGCATAATCGTCTTCCCCTTCCTATTGTATGGAATGTGCAGAGCACACGGTGTAGGCCTATCAATGGTGTCCACAGGAAAAGTCTCAAGCGTGATTGATGCAACACTACTTGGCACTGGCACTGCAGATAATATTGGCTCTACGGTAGAAAAACCTTGTGAAGCTTTCAACTGATTAATCTTTTCATCAATATATGCGTCGGCCTTCTTGCAAAGGGTGTAAAAAATGTCGTCCTTATAGCGTTGCCTTGTTCTATAGCTACTCACCTCCTGTGGAAAACCATGCTTAAGTCCTAGCTTGGAGGAGACGCTCCGCACACGGCCAAGGTGTTCCTTGTTGCCTAGGGCGACACTAAGCTCATCCACCTCCCGTCTGGGTTTAAATTCGTCTTGCATTTTCTTCTGAACAAGTGCCTTTATGGCCTTCGCGGCTGCTTCAGTATGTGCATTTGGGATTACTAGTTGCCCATTTTCTTTGTCCTTAACTTCCCTAGCTCTAACCAGTTCAGTGTGCGTTCTTCTAAGCCCTCATTTTTATATGGAACACCAGCTTCCCTAGCAGCCTCAGCCTCTGCTCTCCACTTTTAAACCTTCGGGCCGTATCCAGCCGAGCCGAGACGGTGAGGGTGAATATTCTTCTTCGCGAGCTCACTGTTCAAGACATTCAAGGCTAAGGCCTCAGGTGTGGACTTCTCTTCACAAAACCTTTGCCATTGATTAGGTTTGATCTTCCCAAACTCCTTGAACGGCGTACGACCCTTCATTCGAAAACTAGTATTTAGTTGGGACCTCCAACCTCGAAAACTTTTTGCCGCCTGTTAACTTCTTGACGAGCTCTTCTGAATCAGGAGGAAAACTAAATGCCCCCATCATCTTCTTCCATATCTTGGTCTTCTCACTATCGGGCACATCGTTCCAATGCTATATTGAGCAATCCAAAATGTCCCGGACCGCCGTTCCTATCGCGATTGCAAAGCGGGAGCGTACGCCATCAAGTTGTATGGGCTCACCGATAGGGCTAACCACTTCTACAACAATAGTCTGTCCTTTTAGGGAACCTGTTCTGCATTCTTTGCCCTCGCTTCCGTTTCTTTCTCTGAGGAGCGGATAATGTAACTATAATCTATGTCTATGTCTGTGTCTGTGATTGCTCTATGGTTTGCCCAGGCATACAGGTAGACACATGGACCTATAGATATAAAAAAATAATTAAAATGCTCACATACTTATGTGAAAAATAAATGTGGTCAAGTGATAGCACGTATAGGCTTACATCCTCGGTCGGATCGTATTCTGGGTCCTCAAGTTCAGCCCTCAAAGCCCTGCAATCAGGCCTAGGACTAGGATCCGAAGCTTCTTCCAATGAGGTCGACGACGTGTCATTGCCGTCATCATCCGTTGACAACCACTCCAACTTATCTGCTTCGTTTGTTGTCATTTCTTTATCCATCGCTAATGAATGTGGATGAATTTATCTAAGTCATGACGGAAGGGCATATTGTTATAAATATTTTTTGTAGTGCACATTCGAAATAAGATAAAAAAGAATCAATGTGGACTATAAATGTAGCATTTATATATATATATATAAATAGATAGATAGATGTAGCATTTCTATCAATATATATGTAGCATTTCTAAACATCATTAAATATATTATAGATGTAGCATTTCTAAACTTCATAGATTCCATCATTATATGTAGTATTTCTATCAATATAGATGTAGCATTTCTAAACATCAATATATATATATATATTAGCTAGGTAATAGACATCAATATATATGTAGCATTTCTTGTCTAATAAGATTAAAAAGAATCAACTTTGGTGAAAGGCCGACGTAGGTGATGGCACCGAGGAAGAAGAGGTGCGAGCACCGGCCGCAAGGAAGAAGATGGGGGAGCACCGAGGAAGACAGGCTTGAGGAGCGACGGGACCGCCAGGGGAGTGCCGAGGGAGCGTTGGGACCGCCGGGGACCGTCGAGGGAGTGCTAGGACCGCTGGGAGCATCAGAGGATCTCCGGTGGCGATGGACGGACGCGCGGACCCCAAGGACGTCGGGGGAGCGCCGGGACCACAGGGGGAGCGTCGGGACCTCCGGCGGTGGATGAATGCGTGGGAGGTGGAGGTGGCAGGCGGCGGTGGATGGTGAAGATGAACATGCGCCAAAGAAAATTTTGGCAGCGCTTCGCTGCAATTTCGAACAAGCGCGCCAGAAACTTAAAAATATTTTGCCCAAGCGCACATAAATAGGGCAAGCATCTTTAGCGGCGGTTTTCTTAAGTCAACCGCTGCTGAAGATGATCTTCGGAGGCGGCTGACATAAGCAACCACCGCTGAAGATCATTTTCATGGGCGGCTGACGTAAGCAAGCGCCCCTAAAAATACATACCCGGGGTGGCCGAGCAAAGTTGTCCGTCGCGTTCAAATTTTGGACGACCGGATTGTCCTACCAAGTGACACTAAGAAATACCGCTGCTCACCTTGTCCGGCCTATTGACGTTATGCTCGACCGGACAGTCCTACGGCCCGTTTCAAAAAATTTAGCACCCTTTGGATGAATTTGCCCCCGTTCGTTAGTGGATAAGGACATGTCATCCGTGTTGGCCTTCACGCTCGTCGTCAGTCACCATTGTCGCCATCCAGTGCTCCAAATCTCCCCGGCTGCTCCCCTAGGCCTGCCCCCGCTGTTCCTCCCCCCACCCCATCCCCTGCCCCCACCATTCCTAGACCCCCAACCCACCCCCTACCCTGCCACGCATCCTCCCCCTCATCTCCTTGGCACGCCGGCAAGCCTCCTCCACGTGCTTCTCCAAGCTTCCTCCAGGCCCTAGTAAGCCAGATCTGGTACATATTTGTTTCTCTCATTAATATTTACTTCTTGCATTTACCTAATGGATATAGTTTCCTTAATATAAACTAGTTATTAATTATCTCATACAATAATACTTCTTGTATAATAATATATGTAGATGCAGATTTAGAGATTATTTAAATAATAATGGAGTCCGGTAATTAAACTAAATTTTAGGAGCTTTCTTTTTATTATTTTGCATAATTGTATAGATATGTTCTTTAAATTGTTTTGAATGGGTGAATTTGGAGTAACAATATGTGTTACTTTAAATCATTTTCATAATTAAATGGGTGAATTTATTGCTGCAAACTAGTTCATTAATTGACCAATGAAGTAAGCACATATA